CTTGTCTCTTACTGCTGTGATGTGGATCCACATGCCCCATTAGACTGGGTTTTCCCCTGCGAGCTCCTACTCCCTCCCCATCCTGAATCCCTTTTTACTGTAGTCCTTCCTTCAGCACCATATATCGCCCTGTGAGTGGATTGCATCCCATCAAGAATGGAGAACTCTGCAGGGGACCTTGTTACTCCAAGCCTGTCAGCAGGCTGCTACATAGCAGGTAACCAGATTGTTGAACAAACCATCAGTCCTCCAAAGGAAGAAGTGTCAACTCTCTGTTTAACCCTTGATGAAACTCCATTGATGGCTACCCAAATGTCTAGCACCAAAAATCAGAAACACTCCAGGTTTTGTTTAACTTCAGGTCTGAGAGTTAAACACCATGAGCTCAGCAAAGATGGTGGCAAATACCCTGTGAGGTGTTATAATCCAATGATGTCCACAAAAGGCTGTCTCCAGGGTCTTAGGATGGGAGGGAACAGGAGCTCCTAGTAACACAAGCCTTTGAAAGTCAGTGGAAGATTTTTTTCCTGCTTGCACGATGGAATTCCTTCATCAATACTATGTTCTAAGAAATTTTCTTTTTCAGTATCTTACATTTAAAAAGAATTTAACTTCATAGCAAATAAGGGAATGGCTATGAATGAGATTAAGCATGATGGTGGACTTTGCAGGCCTGGAAAGATTGCTGTCTCATTGGTCAAGGAGCAAAAGGGCTATCTTCATGGTTGCCAGGTTTCCCTGTAGGTAGCAGAGAGATGCTCTCATAACATATGTGTCTCTTTGAGGTTTACATCTAAATATTTACTCATATAAAACAGTATATGTAAATTATAGTTGAACTTCTGCTCCATATGAAAAATTATGAACTCTCAAACTCTTTATGAATGCAGATTCCTAGGAAGGAAAGCAAAATCTGAACTTTACAGAGTTCAAATATTTGCACCGGTGGCTTCAATATTCTCAAATCCGGGTGCAGCAGAGTCCAAGAGTCTGGGGCATCTTCTATTCCAGAAGCAGGACAGGACATGAAGTCACAATGATGTCCACAAAAGGCTGTCTCCAGGGTCTTAGGATGGGAGGGAACAGGAGCTCCAAGTAACACATATCCTAATGCCCATTAAGTGAGACACATCCTGTCCTCTGCTTCTGCATTTGAGGTTTTATTTTGTGTTTGCATGTGGTTGTTGCCTGCTCTCCCCGTGTCCAGGAGAGGCATGTTAGTGCCTATATGTTGACTGTTGATTGGATGGGTTTCTGAACACCTGGATCCTCTTCTGTCAGGAACAGTTTACCTGCCCTTAGAAAGTTACCACATACTTCTGTTCCTGTTTTGGCTTCTCAAAGATAAAAATGTGCCCAAGCTATATCATTTTATGGGACTCCTTTCTGCAAGAAGTATATGTAATTGTAGAACACAACAAGCTGACATCCAAAAAAAAAAAAAAAAAAAAGTAAGCACATTGTACTAGTTTCTGTAACATGATTTCATCATCAGTTTGCAGAATGAGAATAAGGCCTGGCACATAGGAGAAGTGCTAACCACAGAAGCAGTCAACCAGTTCATCAGTGAGATAGGGGAACAGATGTACTCTCCTTCCTGAGATTAAAACCCTAAAATGATGACACAAATCCAGGGTTGGTGTGAAAATGAAGGCAATCAATTCAGAACAGTGCAAAAAAGGGAAAGCAAAGGGTAGCTTATAGCTTTTAGTCTTCACACAATGACTTTCAATCTAAAGTAAGAAAAAATACTCTTGTAACCGTATAGAAATAAATAACTAATAATAAAAAAAACCATGAAGGCAGTTTGCCATTTTATTATTAAAATACCACAAAAAATATTTGTAACTTTTCAAGACAAGCCAGACATTGACCCCAAGCCCCATCTTCATCCCACTGCACAGATACTTTACCTCAAAAACCACAACTGTTTGTTGAAGGGAGACACATGAGGTACTGGCAGCCCAAGGCTTGAATCCCAGCTGAGTCACAGGTTGCCAGGCCTAAGAAAGTTTACAAAATTACCTGCACAACTAGTACTTATTTAAACAGACATGATAATAGTGATATGACAGTGTTGTTCTGTAAGAATTTATGTAAAAGGCCTACTGTCTTGAACATTAAAGACCATAGTAACTTTCATAATCTTTTGAATTTCAGTCCCCTATCTCTTCTCTTTAGGGAGTTATGACTCCAGACCTGAGATAAACCTCTGATTTCTTTCCCTTATAGCTCTGGGTTCTGCAGCAAGAATGTCATCAAAATTAATACCATCATTGAACAGAGTTGACAAGGGAGTGGGGATATGGAGGGAGTTGGGCAAGGAGTCGGGCAAGGGTGTCTAAGGTGAAGGTGAAACAAATCTGTGGTAAGATTATGGAAAAGGTGGCAGTGAGCTGGACTTTTATGTGGGTGAGTAGAAGAACATGAGCATTTGAGACTGTATAATGAAGAACATACATGTCAATACAAATGATGTGAGTTTTATATTTTTCTTTCTATCCATTTTTTGAAATCTGTAGTGATTATGATAAAGAATGAATGCTACTGAGTAAGCAGAAAGTTAGGGCAATCCAGGCAAGTGACATGGTGTGTGTGAATAAGGACTGACCTGATAGAACTTGGAAGTTCCCTTGACACAAGGGTGAAACAGAATGGAAAGTGAGGAAGACTCAAGTTTTGAGTCTGTGACTGGAAGGATGATGGTATATTAATGGTGGTGGACAAGGTGAAGGAAGGACAGTTTGGCAGCCTTAGAGGATGGCTTTGTTTTGGATTTAACACATTTATAAGGCAACGGAGGGAATATATAACAAATATCCATGATAGTCAAGGGAGGTTTCAATAGAAGCAGGCAGAAGAGATTAAAGATCATACTTATATTTCTTCTAGTTGAGAAAAATAATTCAGATAACGGCAAATATTTTATTTTATCCACCAGAATGGATAAAATCTGGAGTTAATCTGTATCCCATAATTCAAAGGTGGGGGACCCAACCTTTTATTTCAGAAACCAGCCATAATTCAAGTGTCACAGTCCACCCTGACATCTAACAGACTGGCTAAAACTTTGAGGGTTCTCATAACTACCATATTCAATCATTCATTAGAATTATTCACAGAACTCAAGAAAACACTAGACTTATAATATTATCAGAAGAACTAGACAAGTGAAGAGACACAGGGGATGAGACTTCCATGCCCTCTTTTTCTGAAATCTGAGCATTTTCCATCCTGGCACAGTCATTTGATGAAAGCTGCACTAGGACTTCAGTTTCTAGAGCTTTTATGGAAATACCCAGGCATAACTGAGAAATTACTGACTATATGTTTGAACTTGTTCCCCAGCACTCTTTTCCCCAAAGGTCAGGCTGACCCCAAATTACAACTCTCTAGCTTTTTCTTAATATTTTTTGAGTCTCACTCATTGAATTAAGTTCTCCCCCAGAACACTATAAACCAAGCCCTTTTCCTGTGCCCTATGACAGTTATTTAGCAAACTGAAGGCATTTTTTATGCTGCTTCTTGTCCTCTTGACAGAGCTGGTTGATTTTGGACTACTCATCACACATAAGGTGTTGCCCAGAGTCAGCACTTCAGCAGCAGGAGTGGGAGCTGGAAGATAGTGTAAGGAGAGGTTAGAAATCAAGTACTGGGAAAGAAAGTTATAAAGAAGAGAGGCAAGGGAGTGAATCCCTAAACTTAGTTCTTGACAGATAGGTAAATCAAATGGGGGTTTGATTTTCACCATGGGCATTTGGTACATGAACTGGGATATTAGAATATTTGGGATTATTAATTTATAATCAAAGAACATGTCCTGGGAGACTTGCTGAACAAATAACTCTCTCCCATTGCGGTGAAACAGCTCCCATCGCTGTGAAAGAGCTCCCATGATGAAGATTGAAATGATTCTTGTGACTGGAGAGGACAGGGAATAAAGTGGCATGTGGACAGAAGTGGAAATAAATCTTGTGAATTTTGAGTACTATCATCTGTTAAGAGTTTCTCTTCTTCACCAGTATGTCATTATTTTTTAAAATAACACTAGTATACACCATTATTTCTGTTTTAAAGGTATAGTTTACTTACATCTGTGGGGTCTCTGTAAAGATTTAATGTGCCCTCATAAAAGAATGCAAAACACCAATCAATGATAGCCTAAGTTAAATGAGCCCCAGGAAAAAGAAAAATGTAGGAGTGACACATGAAACAGAGCTCTGTGCTCATTGTGATAACAATCACATATTTAGCTCTAAACATTTGAAACAATCAAATCCATAAAGGAATGTGACCCTATCAATCACTCTCACAGCTGACAAGATGAAACTGGAGTCATTTGTCTGCAACTATGTAGTTCTTCTTGATACAATATTGGCTAGGACTTGCTTGGGCGGGATAGCACACAAAGGGAGGTCATGAGCAACCTCCATGATAAAATCCTTGTAACTAATACAGTGGTAACAATTTATCTATGTTGGTTACTGACATTGCACTCACATACACTTCTACAAAAGTAATGCAATCAAAACAAAACAAACAGCCCCAAACAAAATTAAACCAATGAAATGTTTTCATTTTCTGTCTTGAGATTATCAGTAGGTGAATTTTATAGTATTGATTTGGTTTCCATCCAATAATCTCTTTTTGTCTTGTTATTTGAACTTCCTAACTGTGATTTCTCACTGTAAAATATTAACTATATATTGCTCAGGCCACAGGGATATTTACAGGAATTAGACGATAAAATGTGATAACATGCTAGCATAGGGATATCTACATAATGCATGCTTTTTATGCACTGGTAATATTTGACAACAAACAATAATTTCAATAGAAAATGAATTGTATAATGGAATTGATCATTCTTGTGTGCTAATGAATCAAGCTCTGGAAAAACAAACAGGAGATATGCTACAGGCAGAGCGTCTGTGGCTTGGAGACAGGCTATCTGCTTGCCATGAAGGTAGCAATCTCATTTTTCTGTTTCTTTTTTACAGGAATAACTGTCTACAGCCATCCATATGGAGGTGCCTTACTAAATGAGGACAAAATGTGAGTTGAAGGAATGTGACCCTATCTGTGGTTTATTTTGGGGTTATATTGATCTTTCTTCTTAGTTTTAACTGAGTGATATCAACTATGTAATTAGTGGCACAGTTCTGGGCATTTCTTTGTAAACTGACCAAGTTTAAAATGGGTGAGCCTACCACACACCATATTTCTAAGTAGAAATTGTTCTATGGGTATAATCTTGCCAAATCTCACAGGACCCCCACATCTTCTAAATGCTTTTTCATATTAAAATCTTAAGCACAATATTCATAAGCATACATGTGTAATTCCTCCTTGAAGATGTCTCACAACTTCCCTCATGGTCCAGACGGAGTCACAGTTGTTGATAAAATCAGTGTCAGTTCCTATGTTGTATAAAAGGTAAAATATCCATTTCTCTAGTTCTTTTTACCATATCCTTTTTCTATCACATAGTTGACAAACTTTCAGTTTAAACATGATAATAAAATCAATTTTGTTTATTTATTTTCTGTGACCTACCAAACTGAATTAGAAAATACCAGCCTTATTAATGGAACTTCTTGCTGCAAATCCTTGCCATGTCAGGAAGCACATGAAGCAGCTAGTGTCCATATGCATGCTAATTTGATTTTCCAGATTTTATTTTTAGTGTCTCTGACTCTGACCCAAGTATTCCCAGTGTCAGCTCTTAGGAATTTGCTATTCAAATAGATGTGATAGAAAAGCTGATGGGGCACAGAAGGTGGTTTGTTATGAGCCAGCCCATCATGGGGGCCCATCTGTGCTCGCCACTCCTCAAAGGGCCCGGAGAGACTTGAGAGATGTTGGTATTGTGCTACATGAAAAACTGATCAAGAAACTGTACAATGTGTATTATAGCGACAGCTCAAACTGTTCCAATATCCTTTTTTGGTATTTTGAGATAAATTCAGAGATGAGTCAGTGGTGTGTGGATCCACAGCTAATATCCAACTCCTGTGTCCAACAGGTTTTGCTAGATAGCCAGGTTGGCCCATCAGGAAGATGGGTTACTCTGCAAATATCTTTCATTTTAATTGTGAGTTATGCTCAATGGTCTGGAGGTTTTGAGACAATCTGGTCAAAAGAACCCTCAACTTTGTACTCTTCAGCTATACCTTTCATCAGTTGGGAGCAATAATCTGTGTCTCAAAAGGCCATGGAGAAGAATTAGTGTGTAAATTTGGATCCTTAGTCTGTATGTCTTGCTAGGCATACATTCGTAATCATTTTTACTGCTATGCACTCATCACTGATTCTTACCGACAGAAATAAGGCCCATGTACTTCGCCGAGTGTCTGATGAGCTGTTCTGCTTCCTCCACAGCCTGGAGAGCATCCGTCAGTGTGGAGTTGCCCTCTGCATTGTGCTGGGCTTCTCTATTCTGTCTGCATCAATCGGTAGCTCTGTGGTGAGGGACAGGGTGACCGGAGCCAAGAGATTGCAGCACATAAGTGGCCTTGGCTACAGGACTTACTGGTTCACTACCTTTCTCTATGACATGGTAGGTTGTGGATGTGCTACCAAGGTGGGGGGCTATTTAAGTGTGTGTGTGTGTGTTTGTATGTGTGTGACTGTAGTGTGTGTGGTATGTATAGTGTGCTGTGTATATGTAGGGAGGTGTGGTTTGTGAGGTGTGTGTGTGTGTGTTTGGAGTGTGTATTTGTGTTGTATGTGGTAGAGTATGTGTTATATGTATTGTGTGTGTTCATACTATGTATGTTATTTTGCATGCATTTTGGATGTTGTATGTTTGTGTGGTATATGAGATCTGTGTTTATAGTGTGTAAATGGGAAGGTGGGAAGTCATGGTATATTTTTTATGTGCTGTGTTTGTGGTATATGGTGTGTGTGTACATTTGTGTGTGTGATGGAAAAAGTCTAGTTTGTTCAGACTACCCTCAAAAGAAGGATCATTTTATTAGCTAAGCTATCTTTACTATAACAGTCCATAATTTTGGATTACATTTATTTTAAAGATTTGTTTATTTATTCATACAGAACTGGGGTACAGGCCAGAGGTACAGGGATTAACCAGAGACAGAGTGGGGAGCAGAGCAGGCAGATTGACAAAGTATGCTGCTGAGGAGAGCAACAGGCAGGTCAGGAGAGGTCTTCCTCGCCATGTGGGTCACCTCCAGGGCCAAGGATCAAACTTGCACTGAAGGGGCTGAGGCTAGCTTGCAGTGCTGAGTCCTTACCCATTGTGCCACCAGGGAGGGCTCTGCATTGCATTTTAGGAGGGAATTGACAAGGGAAATAGGGGCCTGTACAAAAATGCCAAGTTTCTTTCTGGCGACATGAAAAAATAATCAGCTTTAAAATGTTCTTTTTAAGATGGCAGAACATAAGATGATAAAAAAATGATTAGAACTTATTTGCCACCTGCAATCCTAAAACTATCCATATCCCCATGCCTTGCTTCCTAGTATGTATTCTTTATATATGTAACTCTCTAATGGAGAGTTTCCATTTCACTGTCTCCAGTTCTCTTGAGGAGAACAGCGTTACCTTATCAATTTATCCACTAGCCTCCAAAACATTTATCTGGAATCAAAGCACACGTCTTCAATGGCCAATGTTTTTCATTGTTATATGAACTATTCATTGTTATGAGAAAGGGTATTTTTAGCCCCAAAGATAGCACTCATCCTGTCATAGAATATCATGCACAGGCCATTGAATAGCGAGTAGGACCAAACATTTACCTGGCATTGCCAACACTATGTGCCTCACCATAGCTGTAAGCCAATAGCTATCACCGTGTGCTAAGCTATCTGTGATGTGTATTGCAGGGTCTGCTGTATTAAGCAACTCAATCTCACATATTGTATACTCATTTGACCTTGACTTTTTAAAAGTAAATTGATAGACCTCATATATAAATCTCTGCAACTTTTTGGGAGATCATTAATTCTAATCAGGATTTCTGCCAAATTTGCCAGATAGGAGTATCATATAGAATATTCTCAACAGTGATGTTCCTAGGGCCAGACCTTGATGATTTTACTCAGTAGGTCCAGGTAGCACTGAATGTGCATTTTACTAATTCCCAAGGTTGCAGCCAAGACTGAGAAAGTTGGACCTCATTCTCTTCTGAAGGACATTTTTGAACAAGAGAGTGTGAATGACTTATCTGAGATTGCACACCAGATGTGGGGCTATTGATACAGTGACAGTCCCCAAGAACTTGCCAGGGAGGGCCAAGTGTCCAGGCTATCAGGGAGTTACAGAATCTTTAAAGCTCAAGAACTTACCTCATATTCATAATCCTTACTTTATTGCCCCATACTTCTTAGGGTCCAAGAGACAACTCTTTTCCCTTGAGGTTTTTTAGGGGAGTGGGGGTTATTTTCTCATAGATTGACTATTTTACTACCTTCATCTCCATTATCGTACCTATTCGGTTTGTTTAATCACTAATTTAATAGGTATATTTGGAAGTCTTCAGGTGTGTCTGAAGTACAGACTAGTCTTTTCCCTTTGGAGCTTGTATTCTTACTGGTGGAAGCAGAAAACAAAAGAGTAAACAAATGCACAGTTCCACTTGGCTGGTGGTTCAATTTATTTCAAGAATGAAAGAGGACAAAGACAAGAAGGGTAACTTTATATCAGGATTTCAAAGACTCTGAAGAAGTGATTTAAGCTGAGATATGAAAAGAAAGAGGGAACTAGCCTCATGGATGGCACTGGAGAAGAGCTCTACCATCAGTTTCAAGGGAAGAGGGAGCTGGTATGAGTGTCCCCGAGGAAGGTACGATTGTTGTCAGCCTCAGGGAACCCTGAAGGCCAGGCGGGGCCCTTCAGTCAGAGCGAATAGTTCTACCCTTAAATCTAAGCATGAAGGGGCCAGGCTTCACTGAAGCCTTTCCTGAAAGTCGTGTATTAATCCATAACAAAATTCCACACATGGGTGACTTAAGCAGCACATTTATTTCCTCACAATTCTGGAGGCTGGATGTAGAATATGAATTACACAATTTCATCTTTACTGCAACAGAATTGTAATTCCACAAAGAAAGAGTAATTACATCCAAGGTCACAGATTTAGTAAATGTCAATGTCAATATTCCTTCAAAGATTTACCTCTCTGTCTCTTTCTACCCATGATATGTTCATCCAATAATGAATGACGATCAGCATATCAAAAAGTCTAGCTTCTCAGAGACCTCTCTCCATGGCTAGAGGGCTGCCTTTTTACTCTCTTTACAGGGTCGTGTTTTTGTCCTCATCTCCTTTTACTTTAAGGATACCAGTGACACTGGATCAAGACCCACCTAATTACCTTCTTTTCACCGAGTTACCTCTATAAAGGCTCCATCTCCAGACAGAGTCCCATGGTAAGGTCCTGAGATGTCAACAAGCATGAATGAACACAATTGGGCGGCAGATTGGACTCGCCAGGACTAATTCCACTACTCCAAAACATTTGCTGTGCAAAATAGGAAGTGTATTGAAATAGAAGCTAACATGAAAACTTGAGGACAAGCAAACCAAGCTTCTCTTTCTCTCTCTCTTTTTTCAGGTCTTTTACTTGGTTTCCGTCAGCCTGTGTGTTACCATTATCGTTGCCTTCCAGTTAACAGCTTTCACTTTCCGGGAGAATTTGGCAGCCACTGCCCTCCTGCTGGCACTTTTCGGGTATGTGACGAGAAACGTTGCTGCATAATTATGGATTGTTTTCTGAAAGAGAAAACCCCCGGGATGGCTTTGAACCTGCTGTCGGCTTCATGATTTTCTCTGTTTTCAAGCAATTATGTTGTTTCTACAAGGAGCACTGAGCAAACGAGCCTGAGCAGGTGTCAGTGTCCATTGGAGGAGAGCAGCCTGTCCTTGCCATCATGATGATGCCATTGGTTCTGTCTGAGAAAGACCCCCAAGCTGTTTGACAGCCAGCAGTTGGAACTGGAGTCTCTCTTATTTTTTAACATTAATGGAGGCTTCAAACTCATAATCTAGTTAGTTCTAAAATTACCTCTGTGGTGATGCTGTGGTGAAGGTCTGTGGCCAGAAGTATTTTCCAATTTTGATTACTTTTTCTCAGAGTAAAAAATAGCAAACACATGAAAGTCATTTTATGAATTTCTCATTTATTAATATGAAAATAGATCATTGTTTGATGACAAAAGTATACCTACTTGATATCAGGATATGTAATTATGTGTTGTTTTGCATGCTATATATACAGGCTACATAAGTGATAGATATATTCTGTTAGTAGGAAATAATTTACAAATTGATTTATTTTAATTTAAGGTTATTTTTTTAAACAAAGCTTTATGTTTGATTTAGGTCAAATATCACAAAATATTTTATGCACATCACAATTATATCAGAGAATGAAGGCATTTTGTTGCATGGACAATACCACACTGAGAGAGAAATGGGGTCCTGGAACACCCAGCCTGTTCCACGACACACATTTCTCTATCACTGTGATGTTACAGATGCACCAGCATTTAATTAGTGAGACTAAGTTTAGCTTAAACAAGAACATATCATTACTGGATGAACATATTGTGGATAGCAAGAGACAGACAGATAGGACAGACAGGTAAATCTTTGAAGGAATATTGACATTGGCAGTCACTAAATCTGTGGCCTTGGAAATAATTATTCTTTCTTTGTGGAATTACAATTCTGTTGCAGTAAAGATGAAATTAGATAATTCATATAAATCTCATATATAATGTCAGGCAAGAGTTCCCTTTTAGATTAATTTTAGCCAGATTGTTATTATCTAAATTATTTCAGTACTTAGAGGATCTTATGTCATATACTATAAAAATACACATAGTAGACACATATTCATTATACTCAATTGGAAATTTATGTACCTTCAAACATACATCTATATATGTGGCTTTCTACTTCAAAGAAATGATTCAATTTCAGTTTATTGATCCAATTGAATGGATAGTGTTGTCAAGATTTCTTATAGTATGAGTAGTATGAGTAGGTGTTTTCACTGTAAGTTTTTTTTTTTTTAATTTAGGAGAACAAATTACTTAACGTAAGTAAATCTTAGACAAAATCAAGAAACTCCTTAAAGTCTTTTTTTACTGGAATTTCCCTTAATCTTTTTTTTTTTTTTTTTAAGATTTACTTATTTATCCATGCAAGAACTGGGGTATAGGCCCGAGGTGGGATGGGTGAGAGGAATTACCAGAAACAGAATGGAGAACAGAACAGGTGGATTGACTATAATAGCCTGCGGAGGGGAGCAATGGGTGAGACAGGAGAGGTCTGTTGCACCATGTGGGTCACCTCCCTGGCCAGGGATTGAACTCGTGCTGCAGTGGCTGTGGATTGGTTCATAGTGCAGTCCCATTAACCCATTGAGTTACCAGAGAGGGTCCAACCTTGTCTGGTTTGATATTCTTGAAAAGTTTTAATTAATCTAAGAATTTTCTCCACCTGCATGATTACAGCATCTTTCTGAGAATTTCAGTATAGTCACAGATCTGTTAAAGTAGTGTATATGTCCATTAGGGTATCACATTTCAGATGGATGATTGAGAGCTACTAATATGAGAACTCAGACATGTTGGAGGTCAGACTAATTCCAGTGAAGTAGAGGCAAAAGGCGGCAGATCAGAATCACAGGCCATTATGAGTTCATTTAAACTATTTTTATTCCCTTGTTGGAGCCCAGTGTTGCATGCAGCTCAGGCACCCTGTGGAACACCCCATCTCCTGGTGGACCATACCTGACAAGAACCACAGCTCACTCCCCTTCCTCACAAGGAACTGAGGTACAGGCAGCTCAAAAAAATCTCAGAAAGGTTGAGTCCTAGAATGAGCTGTTATCTAATGACTCTGGGCTCATTTAACAGTTTAGAATCTGACGAAATTGAAAGATAAGTGAATAAGTCTCCCTAAAGAACAGAACAAAAACATCATCCAGGAGAGCGAGGCTGCCACATTCCCACGTTCTCACTGTCTTTGTGCCACACTGACCATAACAGATACAGGGTGATGTGCTGTTGCCCAGATATCACTAACCAGCATGTTGAAAAAATTTTTGTTTGTTTTTATTATTCTGGAACTTTTATTTATTTTCTAAAGTAAATTAATTTATTTCCAGTAACTAAATGAAACATAACAGTACCTCATCTATGTTTGTCTCTCAACTTTTCCACCCTTTCCCTATTCCCTCATTCTTCTTGCTGAGTTCAAATATTTAGTCCTTCTATTGCTTGCATTTAATTTTTAGGGGGATTTATATTGTAAAGATTAATGAAACCACTTGAAATTTGTCTTTTATTTTTTGACTGATTTCATTTAAAATAATTATGCCAGGGTGCATCCATTTTGCTCCGAATTCCATGCTTTCATCATTCTTAACAGCTGTATAATATTTCATTGAATATATGCTCCACAGATGCTCTATCCATTCATCTTTTGAACGGCATTAGGTTTGGCTTTATTCTTTGGCAATTGTAAACAACGCTGCTATGTATATAAGTGTAGATAGATCTTTTTTATATTACATTTTTCATGTTTTTGGATAAATACCTAATAGTGGTATTGCTAAGATCAAACAGAATTTCCCTTTTTTTTTTTTTTTTTTTGAGAATCTCTTGGGGCAGCAGCATTGGAAGCAGCACTGGATAGAAGAAAGAAAATTTGAGGTCTAAGTAGAGAGAGAGAGAAAGACAGACAGACAGACAGACAGACAGACCTAGAGTTGCTTTTCCTGCTGGAGATGCAGTGCCAAGTTCCTGGACTACTCTCATATTATGTGGGTATCAGATTCAGGGGAGTTGGGAAAGCATTTGGAAGAATGTGTAGAGGAATGTGCATGGTGGGGATATGGATTGGGGATGCATAATTCTCTGGCACATTTGTGGGGATTAAGTAGGGACCCTGCCTGGTGGTGTCATTGTTGCTGATCAGAAGAACATCTTAACTCTAATCCTTGTTTACAGTTAACTTCCTGTCAAGTTTGGCTAGCTGGTTATACTAATCTGGCCATATATCTGCCTACTGTTTTCAGGAAATATCCTCATACCAAGACTAAGCCCTATTGAGAGCCCACCTTCCCTCCATCCTCCCCTCCCACCTGAGCATGACTGCATTTTAGTTTGAACAGCAGGGATTCTGGGCACCAATACAATATCCCGAGAAAAAGAAAAAGAGGGGCTGGGGAACCCACAGTTTTCCCACTGGGGCTGTATCAGTTTATACCCAGCAACAGTGGATGAGAATTCCTTTTTTAATCCTCACTGGCATTTGTTAACTCCACTCTTTCTTATATGAGCCATGTTCAAAGGGGTGAATTGGTATCTCAATGTGCTTTTGATTAAGCATATTTCTTACAATAAGTGATGCTGATCATTTTTTCATGTCTGTAGGCTATCTGGATTTTTTTTTTTTTTTGAGATATATCTGTTGAGGTCCTTTGTGATCCTTGGCTTCAAATTCTGTTCCATGGTATGAGTTTTTGATTTTGTGTTACTGCCATGCTATTTTGATTATTGTTGCTATGTAATGTCATTTGAAGTGACATTATTTCCTTTAATAGAGTTTGATAATTTTCATTGTACAGGTCCTTCGGTCCTTCACCTTCTTTGTTAAGTTTACTCCCAAATATTTAATTCTTTTGACATTATTGCAAATGCAACTGTATTCTTTATTTTCTCTTCTTCTTATATATCATTTGCATAAAGAAATGACACTATTTTTTACATGTGGATTTTCTTTCCTGCCACTTTACTGTGTTCACTTATAATTTCTTGAAGTTTTTGTAAAATATTTTGGTTTTTCTAACTATATTAAAATGGCAACTATGACTATTAACATTTCAATTCTTCTTTTCTAATTTGCATTCCTTTCACATATTCTTCTTACTGTATTGCTTCTGGTACAACTATGTCAAATAACAGCAGTGGTAGTGGACATCCCTGTCATGTTCCTGATCTTAGTGGAAAACTTTCAGTTTTTCATCATTGAGTATGCTCTTGGCTGTAAATTTGTCATATATGTGTTTTATAATATATGAGAGGTTCCATGTATTGCCGTTGTTTGGAGGATTTTTTTCATAAATGGATGTTGGATCCTATTGAATATTTTTTCCTATCTACTGAGATGATTTTATTGAATTGTGTATGTTGAATCAGCCTTGCATTGCTGGATTGAAGCTCATTTGATCATGGTGGCTTATTCTCTTGAGATATTGTTATATTTGTTTTGCAAAGTTCTTGTTGAAAATTTTTACATCACACTCATTAGAGATATTGGTCTATAATTTTCCTGTTTTGTACTATCTTTGCTTTTAGGTTCAGGGTAATATTGGCCTCTTGGGCTTTTATTCTAAGAGAGTCTTTTTATTACTTATTTTGATTTCAGTATTTTTTAAAAAAGATTATTTTATTTATTCATACAAGATATAGGGTGCAGGCCAGAGGTGCAGGGTTGCGGGTGAGAGATTCACCAGAGACCAGGTGGGAAGTAGAACAGGCAAATTGACTGACATATGCTGCTGAGGGGAGCAGTAGGCAAGATAGGAGAGGTCTGCTGCACCATGTGGGTCAGCTCCCTTGGCCAGGAATCAAACTGGTGCTTCAATGACTGTGGATAACTTCATGGAGCTGAGAGTTAACCCCTTGGGCCACCAGGGAGGCCCTGATTTCAGTTTTTGTTGTTGTTGTTGTTGTTTGTTTGTTTGTTTTTTATTTATGTACACAGAACTGATGTACAGACCAGAGGTATACAGGGGATGGTGAGAGGATTCACCAGAGACACAGTAGAGAGCAGAAAAGGCAGATTGATGAAGTACACTGCTGAGGGGAGCAGTGGGTGGAGATCAGACTCGTGCTGAAGTTACTTCATAGTGTGTACTTTTCCCATTGTGCTACCAGGGAAGACCCTCAATATTTTTGATTGGACTGTTTAAGATATATTTCATCCTGGTTTAATCTTGTGAGCTTGATTGAATCTAAGAATTTGTCCATTTCATCTAGGTTGTCCGATTTGCTTGCATAAGTATTTTTTTAAAGATTTATTTATTTATGAATACAAGAACTGGGTTACAGGCCAGAGGTGTGGGGGGCAGGTGAGAGGATTCATCAAAAACAGAGTGGGGAACAGAACAGGCAGATTGAACAAAATACACTGCTAAGGGGAGCAGCAGGTAGGTCAGGAGAAGTTTGTTGTGCCATGTAGATCACCTTACTTGCCGGGAGCTCGTGCTGCAGTATCTGCAGATATCTTCACAATACTGTGTTTTAGTCCATTTTTCTACCAGAGAGGGCCCTTGCATAAACATTTTTATTATAATGTGAATTTCTGCAATATTTGTTATAATTCTACATCTTTCTTTTGTTATTCCACTAATTTCTGTAAGTATAGCTAATGGCTTGTCAATTGTGTTTATTTGTTCAAATAATCAATTATTATTTTCTTTGGTCTTTTTGCCTGCCTTTTATTTTCTGTTTCTTTTATTTCTATTCTACTTTTTATTATTTATAGCCTTCTACTAGTGTTTAGATTACTTTGTTGCCCTTTTTGTAGTGTCTCCTACTGAAGAACTTGATTGTTAAATTGATTTTTTCTTTATGTGGGCCTGTGTTGATATGAGCTTCTTGTATAGTGCTGCTTTAAAGCATTCCTTAGCACCTCATAGCTTGTCACTCCATTGTTGTAGATATTTTATATCTCTTCTTAGATTTTTTTGTTGACCTAAAGGTTGTTCTAAAACATTTTACTTAGTCTTTACATATTGTCATTTTGTTCCAATATTCCTTTAATATTAAATTTCTAGCTTTACAATATGGGTTGTGAAAATGAGTGGTATAATTTGTATATTTTCTGAAACTTGTTTGATGTCCTAGTATATGATATATATATATATATATATTTTAAAGAATGATTTTTATTTATGCATCAAGAACTGGAGTGTAGGCCAGAGGTGCAGAAGGGACTGGTGGTGAGGGGATTCACCAGAGACGGAGTAAGGAACAACACATGATCTACTGAAAAACACTGCTTAGGGGAATATTGTGCAATACAGAAGAGGTCTGCTGTGCCATGTGGGTTAGGTCCCTGGACAGGAATCAAACTCATGCTGCAATGGCTGCCAATAGCTTGATAGTGCTGAGATTTAACCCCTGTGCCACCTGGGAAGCCCTTTATGGTATATTTTTGAAACTGTTCCATGTATTCATAGCTTTTAGGATGGAAAAGTATGAATGTCCAGTAAATCCATTTGATCAAATACTACATTTAAGACTTTTATTTTTTTTGTTAATTTTCTGTCTGGATGATCTATCCCTTTGTATTAGTTTTATGATGACATCTCCAATAGCAATATTAATAAGATTTATGTCTTCTTAGGGCATTGTTCCCTTGATCATTATACCGTACCCAACTTTCTTCTTAATTACCTTCTTCTGGTTGAAAATATAGCATGTTGAATATGAGAATATCAGTTTTTTTTTATTTCTTTCTGAGTTAGTAAGATGTATGACCTTATTTCAGCCTGTTTTTTAGTTTTTTTAGTTTTTTTTTTTGTCTCTTAGTTTAAAATACATCTCTTAAAATGAAAGTATTTGATTACCTACACTGTTAGCCTGTGAACAGGTTTGTTATTGGTGAACTCAAACCATATACATTTAGGATGATTATTGTTATAAACTGTTTATTTTCAGTTATTTTGTTTTTGATTTTTGATTGTTTTATTTTTCTGTTCTTTTTCTCTTTATTCTTTCTGAATTAGTATTTCAGTAAAAATCTTTCCTTTTCCATCTGTAGGTGTCTATTCTGGATTTCTTGTTAGTGGCTACTATGGGAGCTTTACTTCCTACACTTTAGTTTTTTTTTAATGAACTGCTGTCTGTTCTCTGACATCTACAATGGTGTCCTCTGAAAACCCATTAAATATGCTTTGTCTTTACAAAACTCTGGGAAATTTATGCAGTAAAATATGTTTTTATTCATTAAGGTAAGGGGAAGAATAAGGCCCACAAAACTACATCTGTAATTTAGTCTTTATACAACTATAATCTTAATGGGAAATAAACTCAGAAAAATTTGACTTTTAGGTATGCAACTCTTCCATGGATGTACCTGATGTCCAGGATCTTCTCCAGTTCAGATGTTGCTTTCATTTCCTACATCTCTTTGAACTTCATCTTTGGCCTCTGCACCATGCTGATGACCATCATGCCTCGACTCCTGGCCATCATCTCTAAAGCTCAGGTCAGTGGGTTCCAGTGTTCCCTATCTATGAAACCCTGGAAAAAGAGGATGTTCTCTCATGCCTATTCTGTTTTCCAATGGGAATTAAAAAAAAAATTGTACTAGTATCCATCATTTTTTCAGTTCCAGAAAGAGAAATTGACTGTTGTTTTCAACAGTTGTGCCACTGTAAGAGCCATGCGTAGATTAGCAGTTTCTGCTACTTCCTCAGTGAGGGCAGGCCCCACCACCATGCTCTCACTAAGCTGCATAGCTGTGTGCTGATGAATCGCTGGTTGGTGGCTAGAAGAATAAATATATACATGAGAGGTGTGCTGTGGCAGGAGTAAAGATTAGGTATTTCTCTCTATGAGGCCAGATGCTACAGAATCATACCTCTGTGGGATTCCGTGATACAGGATAGTATTGGCTGAAACTAACTACACTCTCAGACAACAAGGAGTCAGCTTTATTGAGGGCAATTCTACCCTCTCCCCTTTTGCTTCTGGCAGATACTTAGTTTTACTACTTTCAAAGTGTTAGAACAAAAGGTTGTCCTAATATTGAATTCTGTGGACAAGGAACATTTCTTTGGATGAGGGAAATGCCTCTCGTAAGAAATCTCTTCAATATGCTTTTTCACATTAGCAAGTCATGGAAGATCATTATCGCCAATAGGAATTTGAACCAAGCTGGGTCCAGCTCTGCTGACATATCCCACTTGTACTTTCCAGTCATGATTCTTCTCCTGCCTCTTCCATGAGACCTGACTTGTGACCCATCATTCACCCACCTTAGTTTCCCTTTTGTGCCTCTGGGAATAGCCTTCTGAATTTCAGTCCTTTTTATTCCTGTATTCCTTTCTCTGGTCTGACTGCATGTTTCTTCCCAATTCCTTGCTGTTTACATGAACCCTGCTTCCTCAGGAGTTCCACACATTTTACTGATTTATGGACTGACTCTATAACCTAGAAGAGTCCTGCCTTCTAGTTTTGGAAAATATGATGCAAGAAGAATAAATGTATACATTTATTATTATGTGACTATCTTTGCTCATACTTAAGTCAGGATGGACCCTGCTTAGTTGTGATAGAATCATGTCCTCACAGTCAGACTTTAAGAGACACCCCAGTGATATGATAATTTTTCTCTTGGTTGTCATGCCTCATGTTTGTATGAAAGCAATAGAATAGGCAAGTATTCATTCTGCATTCAACAAAGGAAACAGTCTAGTTTGGTGATTTGTACATATCTATTCACGCTAATTTGTGTAAATGTGTCTATCTTTTAAACAGCAAATTTGGAGAACAGTTAGTCCCTTAGCTTAGGGAGAATATTGAAAATAGACAGGTTGCGTGGCTTCTAGTAGGGCAGAGGCCATCAGGGATGTCAGTCATGAATTAAGATGAAAAGGAAAAGATACTCAAGGGAGATGTTCTTTAAGTGAGAAATGCAAAGCTATTGTCTGCTACAAGGATAGGGTCAGAGAAGAAAAAGAAAGAGGATCATTTAGATTCAAGGAGAAAACTCACCAGGAATCTACACCCATGAGTTTGGTGGAAATGTTGTTGTTGTTTTTTAAAGATTTACTTATTTATTTGTACAAAACTGGGGTACAGGCCAGAGATGTGGAGGGTGAGAGGATTCACCAGGGACAGAGTGGGAAGCAGAACAGGCAGACTGTGGAAATACACTGCTGAGGGGAGCAGCGGACGGGTCAGGAGAGGTCTGCCTCACCATGTGGATCTCCTCCGGGGCAGGCGGGGATTGAACTCATGGCTTAAGCTTCTTAGTGCAGTGCTTTAACCCGCTGAGCCACCAGGGAGGGCCGGAAATGTGTTTTTTACCTCTAACTATAAACAGCAGTTTGCTTACCTCAAAAGAAATGAGCAACAGTGAGTTATTTGTGGAAAGTGGGTCAAATGATTTTTAACAAATCATAACCATTTTCTTGTTTTTAATAAAGTCTTCCTTTTGCTCTTTATTTTTATATTGTTTGTTTAAGAAATTCAACTGATAAGTGTGTACTTTAAACTATTCACTTGTAAGTAGGGAGCCATGTGATTTTTATCCAATAATAATAATAAAAAAAGATGACTAGATTCTTCCTTCAGTTTCTTAAAAAAAATAATCAAAATTACCCATTGGGTATATATACAAACCATAATGCTAATACAAGCATTATAACTTTTATAAAATCACAATGTATGTGCTATTTTTGTGGAACAGTTCGGATTCTAACTCAAAATCTGAAACTTCTGTCTTTCTCACTGGTGAGGCTTCGAGTATGGAAATATATTTAGAGGAAAAATCATTTAGTAATTTATTTCTCTACATATTTAATCTGATTCCAGATATACTGTATCAGACACATACATATTTTCCCATGACTTTAAGTAGCTGTACCCACTCATATGGTCAGATCATTTAATTCCATGTTATTAAATGTGATCAACTTTGCTCATACATAAGTTTGATCTAAATTCATTATCTTTACTATTTATATTTCATTAGTTTTTAGTACATGAGTTAAAAACTGTATCATTTCTATTTCCTCACTAGTAAAATAATTTTTTTTCATGTATGTTAGTTGATCTAGGGACATAGTTTTATGATAGGTTTGATTAATAAACCCCTTTAAGACTGATTAAAATCTATAGATGATGTGAGTCAAAGCAGAAACTAAGAAAATGTTAAAAGAAGCTCTCATAATTTTCCTATCTCTATGAAAATGAAAATAAATCACAGTGTAACAAGAAATGACCCTAAGTATCTTTATTGAATTTTCTATTGCCTCCAAATATTTAATATATTTTTACTGGTCAGGTTATTAGTTTGCATTTCAAGGGAAAACTGGGTATTATCTGCTATGAAATTCATAAGTGAAAATTTTATGAATTGGTTCTTTAATATTTATGACATGACACATACACTGCTGTGCATTACAGTGTGTACGTTGTGATTTTCATCTCTTATCACCTTACCAAGTATTGAGTTTTACCAAAGGAGGGAGAGACTATAAAATGTGGGTCGAATTTTTCATCATATTCCTGTAGCTTTGTTTAGCAGTTATAGTTAATGTGGTTTTTCTGGGTTAAATAATTTAAAATGCTACATTGAATCTAAAGAACCATAAAATGAACCTGTGTTTCAGTGATTTTTTTCTTTCCTAAAGGCAATATTTCTTGGTGGAAAATCCTATTCCTTGCACAAGAAAGGTCCGGTTCAAGTCCTGGCCTAATTGCATTGTGACTTGAACCCATTAGTCATTCTCTTGAGAGTTTGTTTCCTCATTGGTGACTGAGTTTATTGCTCAGTACTTTATACATTTATTTAGAGAATCAAATGTGATGAAGTTCAGTCAAACTGGAAGCACATAATGCCATGTATAAAATAAGTGATGCTTAATATTTTAATAAATTTAATCTAATAAAATAAATACAGATATACTGTATACTAGTTAAAAAAAACTAGACAAAATGATAATAAAATTTGTTGCTGTTGAGTTTATATGTGTATATATTCATTTTAAAAATTTGTTCAAATTGTGGTCTGTCATATAATTTTTGTTTTCTCCACAATTACATACTATTTGATCTCTTACCGTTTATTCCTTAATCATTCTTGTGTTTATAATACCACTTCATTCTATATGTTTAATAATGACAATTACATATATTTAACCTTGCCTATACATTAAGTGTGAACTAGATATTTTGTATGCTATTTGAAATGCTCAGAGTCACAGCTCCTAATATTATCTACCCATTCAAAAATTAATTTTACCTTGTGACTAGTAGTATTACCCATATACTGAGTCATCTTTAGCTTCTATAACAAAATGCTAAATAACAAGCAACCTGAACAGGAAATCTTTACTTAGCACAGTTCTGGAGACTGGATTTCCAAGAGTAAGGTGCTTCTTGATTCTTCTTTTGGTGAGGCCTTTCTTTCTGGATTATAGATGTCTGCATTTCTGGTGTGACCTCACCACAGGAGGCAAAAAGATCAATCTCTAATGTCTCTTCCTCTCTATGAAAAGACAATTGTCCCATTGTGGGTTGTTAGCCTTAAGGCCTCAGCAAAGTCTTAGCACTTCCTTAATGTTCATCTCTTAATATCATCGTATTCAGGGGAAGGGCTTCACCACATGAAAAATTGGGGGTGGGGCATACATTATCAGTATATAATAATTCTACCTTCAGAGCCCTCAGTTTATATCACATGAGAAATATGTTCATATTATCCAACAGCTCCATAAATCATAGATTTATTTATTTTAGCATCAACTCTGATGTCCAAATGCCATCTAAATCAGGAATGGGAAGCACATGAAGTAGGGTTCCTCCTAAGTTAGAATTCCTCTCCTTTTATAAACCTGTGAAACAAGCCATTTTTGTGCTGCCAAAATAGAAAATGGGACATACCTAATACAAGCTTAGAACAAACATCTTCATTCCAAAAGGGGAAAAAAATGGAAAGGAAGAAAAACTTAAGGGGGGCTAAGCAAATCAAAAGCCAAGCAGAGCAAGACCACTTAATCGTCATACATCACAATAATTTATTTTAGCTTGATACTGTCTGGGAGTAATACTAAATAACAGAGACGGGGGACCTGGAGCCCAGGATCATTAAGGAGAAATGGAAGTTGTGGATGCCTTTTAATTTTATTTCTTTCACTGTACAGAATTTACAGAATATCTATGATGTCCTTAAATGGGTCTTCACCATTTTTCCTCAATTTTGCCTGGGTCAAGGGCTGATAGAGCTCTGTTATAATCAGATCAAATATGACCTGACCCACAACTTTGGCATTGATTCCTATGTGAGCCCCTTTGAGATGAACTTCCTGGGCTGGATTTTTGTACAACTGGCTTCTCAAGGCACCATTCTTCTTCTCTTGAGGATTCTGCTGCACTGGGACCTTCTACAGTGGACAAGGTATGTTCTGCAAGACTCATTCTCGTATGGCACTGACTTTTAAGAAGGAGAGAGAATTCCATCCTGAAGGAGGCAAGATAAGCAAAATATTCTAGTCAGTTAAGATTATATATTTCTTTTAACTGATGTGAGACACTAATAAAAGAAAAATGTCAGTAAGATGCTGAGTTATGCAATATTACTTAACTTTTCCATTTGAAATCACTCTATCTCTTACTTTGTAGCACCTAGTATGGATTAAGTTGATATCACAACATGATTTAGTTTTATGGCTAATTGCTATTAACTCCTAGAATCAGGAGCTTAGGGGAAAGTGATTGCTTTGTATTCTTACAGATATGTGTATATCTATATAGCTCAATACACATATTATATATTTAATAAATGTATATTTATCATAATTTTTATGTCTATATTTGTTGATATATAATGCAACCTATGTAAACACGTGTATATTCTTCTTACTGCTGTAATTAGGAGTTAATCTGGCATTGTAAATATATAAAACATTGTGACAAATGCCATGAAAACTAAGGGGACTAAAATGATGTAAGAAAATAATTACTTTTTAAAATTGGGGTCACATTAAAAATATTGTCAGATAACATATTTTAAGTAGATAGGTAAGAATGTTCCTTCCTAAATAGATACACTATTAATATTTACTAGTAGGTCCCTTATGTAATTTTTCCTTGTCATTCCATGGCATATTGTCTTCATAATTCTTTTTAATCTGCTAAAGAAAGAGAACCATTTGAATACAAATCTTTGTATTCGCGTTCTCTTGAATGCATACCATTACTCAGGAATCTGTTGATTTCCAACATATGACTGAGGTTGAAATAGACTTTGGAGTACCTTTCAAACACAACTGGTTTTGTGATAGGCCCTCACTAGTTTAATCTATTTTAAAACCAACAAACTAGAATCCCTTCTGGCAGATTCAGCTTGTTTCATTTCCAATAGAATCGAAATATACTTTGTAGAGTATAAGTTAAGCCACATTTTTGAATCATGTCTTTGTTACCACTATGTGTGATCAAAAATTATTTTTCTTTATCAGTACAAATTACAGATCACAACTTTTAATTTAATCTAAACATCAGCATGCCATTCCCTTAAATATTGACTATTATGGGGATTACGCTAACAAATGAATGTTTTCAAGTGTAGTCTAAAATATCAAGTTGGAGAACTTAGTGAGGCCCCCTTAACTTGGCATCTTATGTTCTGTGAGGTTCTCTTGGCTCTTCCCTCCATTTCAGAGAAGCTGTTTGCATCAAATAACCTGCCTTATCTGGCCTCTTCATGGATTGACTTCTGTTCCTCCTGTCACCTTCCCAGATCAGACACAGTGCCTTCTCAGTGTGCCTGTCAGACTCATCAGTGCATTTTACTGTATTTATAGTGCACTTCTGTTTGTCTATAAGATGTTTCATGTAGGAGATATTTTTTAATCATAATTCAATTTATTTTCTCACATCATTGTTAGTTTTTGGACCATATTCAATTTCTACCCTTAAGTGCACCTCCTGTAGTTCTTCAAACAGGAAATATTCATACATGTCATGTTGTGTCTAGGATGGCTGGTCATAATAGTCATATGACCCAGAACAGCATTTTTCTTCTGATAATAGGTATTCCATGTCTCTGAAAATTTCTGTTATATCTCCTGGCCATCAGGGTTACTTTATTTTGGATATAGATGATATTTTTTTGGGTTGTCAGTTGGAAGCTGGTTTTGTGGCACATTTCTGAATGCAGAGGAGGCCAACCAGAAATCACCGCAGTCAGTTGTCTTCCACCTGTTCCACTAGAACAATTTGACCTTTTTTAAGATGTTTGCACATCAGGATCCTCAGAGCTCTGAGATCAGAAGTTCTATAGATGAAATCCTGGGAGTATTTATAACTCTTTACAAGTCATCCTAACAAAAGTGGGGGCGGAGTGCTGATGTGGGTAACTTGGGGATGGATCTTGGAAATAGGAGAGAATAAAGATGGTCAGTCAGGCTGAATGGTCACAAAACATACCTTCCAGTGGATAAGATGAAGATGACTATAAAACAGAATGTGTATAATTTGGTGAACGTTTATAAAATGAACATACCTGTTTACCTTCTCCCAGACTGAACACTTTCAGCATCTCCAACCCCATTTTAATCAGCAACTACTCTATGGGTGATCAATGTTCTTATTTTTATCTACATGATACACTATTTGTAACACACATACATATAGATTTTTATATAATATAAGTTCCTGAGTAGCTATGTTTTCTCATAATTTATGCTGTGTTGTTGAATAAATATATATTTGTGCAGGAAACAAATACAAGTAGCTGAGGACTGACAATGGATTTTTTTTAAAGATTATGTATTTATGTACACAAGGATTGTGGTACAGGCTGGAGGTGCAAGAGGTGAGAGGATTCACCAGAGACAGAATGGGGAGCAGAACAGGCAAATGTACAGAAATATACTGCTGAGGGGAGCAGTGGGTAGGTCAGGAGAGGTCTGCCATGTCATGTGTTCACCTCCCTGGCCAGGGATCGAACATGTGCTGTAGTGGCTTTGAATAGCTTCATGGTGCTGTGCTTTAACCTGTTGTGCCAGAGAGGAGCCAGCAATAGATATTTACTGGACTTTCAATACTTTTTTTATTCTAAAATAATTTAAGACCCACATGAGATTGTCAAATTAATCCAAAGAGTTCCTATGTAAACTTTACCCAGTTTTCCCACTGATAATATATCACATCAATAGTGTGCTGACAAAGCCAGGAAATCAGAGTTAGTAGAGCACAAACTCAGTGGTCAATGCCTATTTAATTATTAAAATGCTAGCATAGAAAAAAATAAAGTGAAATGCTAACATATTGCAGCATACAGGGAAATTGAAATTTAAAACGCTCCAAATTAAAAATCATAAAGAAGATTGATGTGTATATGTACCACATTTTCTTGATCCAGTCATTTATTTTTGGGCATTTGGATTGACTCCATGTCTTCCTTATTGTAAATAGAGCAACAATAAACATAGAGGAGCAGGTGTCCTTTTGAGTTAATGTTTTTGTGTCCTATGGGTAGATACCTAGGGGTGGACTATCTGGAACATGGATGCTCCATTATTATTTGGTGACCAAAAAATATAAACTCATGCCATTTTGGCAACATAGATGGAGTTTCTTTCTTAGTGAAATAAGAAAGAAAAAAAAAAACATCAGATGGAAGCAGAGACATTCTACAGGATGGGAGAGGGGAATAGGATCAAAACTGGGGGCAGGAAGAGTGCAAAGGACTTTGGTAATGGCACATGGATGAAGTGGTGTTGGGAAGTCCATGGGGATTATAGATGAGATGAAAAAATGGTACAAATGTAGGATGATGTGTATATATATTATATACTATATATTATATAACATATAATCTTATATGTATTATATACTATACAATATATGCATCTTATATATGTGTCATATATTATATAACACACACATCTCATATATACACACATATGATATATGTATGCATATATATTCTTTAATCTCATTATGTATATATAATGTATAATGTATATTAATGTATAATGTATAATGTATAATATATAATATATAATATATAATATATAATATGAAATGTATATATTGGGCTAGATGAAAGGATTAGATAACATGCACTTTGCATAATGCCTTGTATAGCATAGTCTATAAGTATTTGTCAGATGAAAACAAATTTAATTTGATTGAAAATTAGATTTAGAGTAAGAAATTAGACTTGAAAATTAACTTTGCTTTCATCTGACAAATACTTATAGATTATATTGTACAAAGAATTATGCAAGATTATATTGTAAAAAGAATTATGCAAAGTGCATGTTATATAATTAGTCTAACCCAACATATGCTTTGTAATTGTCCCATTTGCATATTTTTATATACAATTCAATTACTTTTTACATTTATCATATAACTGATGTGATTTCCTGATTCATAAAATTGAAAAGCTGCTTTAGTTTTCTATCACTTCCCTGTCTTTTGGACACATGCACATTTCCTGTCTGAAAGAAGAGAAACAGTGACTGAATATCAGAACACAAATGCCCATGTTGAAAATGATTCATTAGATGCTGCATACCTCACTTTCTGTACTGTCAGATCACAGAATTGTCTCCCTATAAACGCAGCCCATCCTGTTTTCCAGGTGTGAATTAACTCTGATTTTATCTTTCCAGGGGTCACTCTGCCCTTCAAGGCACTGTCACAGCAGCTAAGGACATAGATGTTGAAAAAGAGCAAATGAGGGTGTTGAAAGGAAGAACTGACCGAGACATCCTTGTATTATGCAACCTGAGTAAAAGCTATGGCAGCTTCTTCAAGAAGACTACTGCTGTGCAAGACATTAGTTTGGGCATACCAAGAGGGGAGGTAAGAAATTTAGGTTTTTCTATCTTTTACTTTTCAACCATGTGTGACCCTACTTGTTGATCTTCTGTGTTATTCTCATAAGGCCTGTAATCAGACTAGCCTTCCAATTTCAGAAATATCTGACAATCAGTAGAAGCAGCAAACAAGTGGAAACTCCATTAGCTCTTTCTCACGTTCAAATTTTGTTGCCTGATTGATGGGGTTCATTTTATTTCATTATTTTTCAAATTTAATGTGATTGAGAAATTTTAATTATTGCTTAGGCTTTTTGATTACTTTTTATTGAGTGAAAATATTTTGTAAATCCAATCAATTACGGAAAGCACTTCTAAGTCTTACTTGGACTTCAGTAGCTTTAAGTGGCCAATTGAGGCTGTCCATAAAGTGCAGTCTGGAGATGTGCTAATCATGTGCCCTAGCAACAGCTCAGGCTTTCTTTTTTCATGGATATCTATTAATGCTACTAGATATGTTTAATCAGAACTGACAAACATAATAGAAATTATTCTAATTTGTGCTTAATGCATAAAGAAAAATAACTTCTAGAAATGATTACTTTAAACTAATTGTTAAAAATCAGAGAGCACTTACAATCATGTAGTATCAAGAGCTGAAGAAATTCAAGCCACGATGTTGCCTTATCTGATTGAAATTCACATTTTGCTTTACAGTAAGTGAAGACTGGGCAGATGGAAAAATCTTCAATAAAATATTAGCTAGCCAGGTCCTCCCTGGTGGCACAGTGGGTTAAAGCACAGCACTGAGAATCTAAAGCCGCTTCCACATGAGTTCTATTCCCTCCTGTCCCGGAGGTGACCTCTCCTGGCCTGCCCACTGCTCCCCTCAACAGTGTACTTCGTCGATCTGCCTGTTCTGTTCCCCACTCTATCTCTGGTGAAGCCTCTCACCGCCCCTAAGCCTCTGGCCTGTACCCCAGTTCTGTATGCACAAATAAATCTTAAAAAAAAAAAAAGATAGCTAGCCAAAACATACTTTGCACTGAAAGAAATAAACACTAGGATTAATAACACACATTCTAGGATGATTCAGCATCTAAAAATCAATCAGTATTATTCACATCAACATAAAAAATGATAAAAAATAAATAAAAGTGCTGCACGTCTTTTCACCAAAGCCTGGTAGAAAATGAGGCTGTCCACTCACTATTACTACTCAGGATAGCATTGACAATCCAAGATAGAACAATTAGTCAAGAGAAAGCTAAGAAACAAACTCAAATTGGGTTAGAAGTAAAGCTATCATTGTTTTCAGAAGACATGATAACAGATATAGAGTACCCTAAAGATTACACTAAAAAGTAACTGAAACAATATATTAGTTCTGTAAGATGTCAGGTTATAAAATCTATACACAAAAATCAGTTGCCTTGCTATGGACAAACAATGAGTCAGATGAGGAAGAAATTGGAAAAAATGACAACATTTGCAATCACACATACATGAAAAATATTAAGTGCTTACGAGTAAACTGAACAAAGGAGGTAAAGGACTATACAAAAACTATAAGACATTGTTCAAAGAAATAGAACAAGACACACACAAAAAATAGAAAGCTATGCTCTACTTATGGATTAGAAGAAACAACATAGTCAAAATTGCCATTCTCTATGGGGATTATAACAGATGAAAAATGCACATTTGTACATTTTTATTTATATTTACATCATACTTCATTTTGTACTTCCTATATACATACATATATATATATATATATATAATAAAAACAGCATCCTACCCAGATCATTATAAATATTTAATGTACTTCCTATCAAAATTTCAATAGTGTTCTTCAGAGAAGTAGAATATCTCAAATTCATATGGAACCAGAAAAGAGAGGGGGGATAAATTATAGTATTGTACTTCCAGACAATCATAATCTATAATACAGAGATTTAACAATTTAAAAAGCATGATACTAGAATAAAATCAGACACACTGACCAATGAGATAGACTTGAGAGCCCAGGAATAACCCCAGACCAATATGGATAGTTAACATATGACAAAGGAGTCAAAAACATACAGTGGCATACAAAAACCCGGTTCAAGAAATGGTACTGGGGAAACTGGACAGCAACATATAAATGAAGTGATGTAGATTATTCTGTTAGACTATACACAAAAATCAATTCAAAATGGGTAAAAGACTTGGATGTAAGACCTGAAACCATAAGATACAATAGAATAAAACATAGGCAAATGCTTCACAAAATAAGCTTCAGTGATGTCTTCAAAGATCCATCTGCACAGCTAGGAAAACAAAAGAGAACATAAATAATCAGGAGTACATCAAACTAAAATGATTCTTCACAGAAAAAGAAACTGTAAGCAAGACAAAAAGATACCCGATGGAATAGGAGAAAATACACAAACGCCATTCATCTGACAAGGGCTTTTGTCAAGGATCACAGAGAACTTATATAACTCAACAAGAAGAAACAAAACCCCAATCAAAAAATGGGCACAAGTGTCAATAGTCACTTCTCAAAATAAGACATAGACTAACTAAAAGACACATAAAAATAATCAACACTTCTCATCAGGAAATGCAAATCAAAATTAAAATGAGATGCCAATTCACTCTTATCAAAAAGACCCACATGCTGATAAGATATGGAGGAAATGTAATATTTTTACCATTTTGATGGGAATGAAGGCATACTGCTTTGCAAAGTATGGCAGTTTCTCAACAGACTACAAATTGATCTACCATACAACAGAGTAATTCCACTCCTATCTACCTGCACTGCAGAATTATTTACAAAATTATCTACCTACACTGCAGTGCTTTTTACAAAGTTGTACTTTGGGAAAAAAAAAAAAAGAAATTCCAAAAAGCAAATGTGGATAAAGAAGATGTGGTTAAACAGATAAATAGATATACACACTGGAATACAACTTAGTGATCAAAAAAGATAAATGCTATTGTGGCAACATGGATGGAACTGGAAGGGATTATGCTAAGCAAAGTAAATCAGAAAAAAAGATAGGCAATAGTGAATGTGGAATAGAGAGAGAGAAAAGGGTCAGAAAATGCCAAATTCAAATCTAACCCTTCAAAGTCCACTGTATAAATGAGGTATGCAGAAGGGGAAGAGGGAACACAATAGAACATTAGTGAACTATGAAGCATTGGTAGTAAAGGCAGAAATTAAATTGTTAAAAAAAAAAAAAGTGTAACTAACATTGCCTCAAAAAAAAAAAATGCCACTATGTTTCCTTTATGGTTTTAAGATAGAGAGTAGGAGAAATTTTTAGTAAACATGCTCTAGGCATCTGAAATGGTCCAAGATGCCTTTTTTTTGTTTGAATTTCACTTGCTAACTTGCATGAGGACCTTAGTTCAGTTTTCTAGATAAGAAACACTATGAAGAACCTGTCAAAGAGTCAGCTAATACCCTGTTCTTCTAGAACTTGTCACTGTGTAGGAAAGAAAATATCATTTTGTTTTTTGGCCTTTTGGCTAAGATCAATATCATAAACATATACAGTGTTACATATGGCAATGAGCCCTGCAATGCCCTAGAGATACAATTACAGAGAGGGAAACTGGATGCCAGGGAGTGGGATGATATTTAAAAGATGGAATTAAAAAAAAAAAAAAAACTGGACTAAGGCTTGAAGTACAGACACAGGTTAGATACCTTGATGGTATACCATGGACTGTCTCAAATATGACCTTCTGACTAGTGCTATGTGGGACAGGACAGGTCTGGAACACATGGACTCATATGTAGATAGTGGGACAAATCCAGCTGAGTTGGGGAGAGTATGGCTTTTGAAGCAGGTGACGATTAGGCAAACAGCTGGTAGCCAGAGGTATGCAATTCGGTTCTATGATAGTTAGGTGGGGCATGGTAGCTGTCACTTTATGTGTCAAGGAGCCAGTAAGCCAGCTTATGTCAGGGAACAGCAGCTGCTGACTTTAGAGAACATGACTTGGAAGGAACTGGTGAGAATCAGATAGTCAGCAACTATCAAGGTATCTCTGGCTCAGAATATACTGAGGTTCAAAATAAAAACTGTGTTAAAAGAAAAAAACATATAGTCCATTTTTCACATGAAATGTAAGATACAGTCAAACTAAAGAAAAAGTTGCTTGATGCTCAGTGTTAACTACAGAAATGGGGTTCTTCATGATAATGGCATAGTTTACCTAGAGCCTATGTTAGACAGGAAAATAGAGAAGATGGGGAGACTAGAGAATATTTTTAGGGAGTACTTTGTACTTCACAGGGAAGTCATGAGAAGAATAATGATTATTATAATGTAACTTCCTTTGAGTATATGTTCTTCAAAGACATCTGGTAAGTAGCTTGACTATGGATTAATGCTGGAATTATTACACCACTCAGATGCCATGGGGATTGTCAATCGGTGGATGTCAGTTGTCAATTGGTAGTAGATGGTGACTGGACATTTGGTTCTGGTCACAGCATTATATATATTGTTATTGAATTGATAAATGATTATCTGAAACCTATACAGTGTGGTCAATGACTGTTACCTCTTTAAAAAGAAGATGGAGGAAAAAGAGAATTATTATTTTTTTACTTATGCATACAAGAACTGGGGTACAGGCCAGAGGTGCAGGTGTTGAGAGGATTCATCAGAGACAGAGTGGGGAGCAGAACAGATAGATCTACCAAAATACAAGGCTGAGGAGAGCAGAGGTTTGCCACGCCATGTGGGTCATCCCCCAGGCACAGGATAAGACTTCTGTTGCAGTGGCTGGGATAGATTCATAGTGCTGCAGTTTGACCTGTTGTGCCACCTGGGAGCTTCTCCACCCACCCCACAAAAAAAGAGAAAATTCTAAAAAAATAATATTGTGATCTAAACGTGCTTTATAAAATTGTTTGATTTTTTTTAAGATTTATTTATTTATTCATACAGAACTGGGGTACAGGCCAGAGATGCAGAGGGTGAGAGGATTCACCAGAGACAGAGTGGAGAGCAGAACAGGCAGATCGACGAAGTACACTGCTGAGGGGAGTAGCGTGAGGGTCCGGAGAGGTCTGCCGCGCCATGTGGTCACCTCCGGGGCAGGCGGGGATCGAACTCATGTGGAAGTGGCTTAAGCTTCTTAGTGCAGTGCTTTAACCCACTGCACCACCAGGGAGGGACAAAATTGTTTGATTTTAAGAGTCTAATAATACCTCAAACCAATTATAACTCAGAGTTGCCTAAGAACAAGTGTTTCTGATATAATTTTGATTTTAACCTATTTTTTCCCTCTCAGTGCTTTGGACTTTTAGGGGCAAATGGAGCTGGGAAGACCACCACATTCAAAATTCTGAATGGGGACATCCCTCCAACCTCTGGACATGCCATCATCAGGACTCCCATGGGGTACATTCTAGATAATGATTAATTAATCATTATTAATGATTTTAGCTACCTAAAGATAACTTATTATTCCAGTGAAAACCAAGCATTCTTTTGTTTCTCCAAAATGAAATCTGAGACCACATTTCCCTCCAAATTTGCCTTCCAGTTATCACTCCTTAGAAGAAGAAAAAGAACCTCCAAATTCAATTTAAATTTTTGTCCTAAAAGTGTGGGTGGTATTGGCAAAAAGCAGCAGAGGGCTGTGCATTTTGACAGACATGAAATGGGGTTAAGGTATGTTATTTCTTGATAAATGCCGCCACATGTATCAGATGAGCAGGAAGTAGGAGTTCTTTTTTGAAGATCCAGCTCCAAAATAGCCTCTCATATTCAAGGGGCTAAGTGAGTCCTTCATTTGCAGCCTAGTGATGACAAGTTTGGTGTGGGGAGACTGTATATTTTAAACATCAAACATGGTACTTGGGTATTGGGAAAGACATTGATTCCCTTCCTTCACTCTAAATACAACTGCAAATGCTAACGTCCTGCACATAAGGTACTGTTCATGACAGTGAATCCTGTATGGACTCTTGAGGACAACTATCCCCAAAATAAGTGTGTGTACGCACACACACATAGTGAATGTCTAACTTTCTCTATTTTTCCTTATTACTTTATTGAGCTATATTTGACATAATAGTACACTAATTTCAGGTGTGCACATAGTGATTTGATATTTGTATATAGTACAGAATGATCATCACAGTAACTCCAATCACCATATATAGTTACAAACTTTTTTCTTATATTGAGAAATTTATATCTACTCAGATATATATATAGTAGTATGAGCTATTGTCACCATGTTACACATTAGATTTCATTGCATTTCTGTGACTTATTTAACTACTTATTTTCATGTGTTCTTTTTAATCAAAATAACATTGGCTTATGCCTCTATGTATGTTTCAGAGATGAAGGATCATGAGCCTTCAGATGTATATTTTCCACCACACCTACTACTAAGGAACCCGTATCACTGAGCTGGTTCATTGAGAACTCTCTGTACTTTGTTCTCCATCCTTCCCCTTTCCTTATGACACTCTCAATTCTACAGTCACATTTTATGAGTTGTTATCGGTTTGGTTTTGTCTGATTATTTGTTTTGTTTTTCTATATTCCACATATAATTGAACTCATCTGGTAATACTCATTCACCTCTTGATTTATTTCACTTGGCATTATCCTGTCCACTTCTATCAATGTTGTCACAAATGACAAGAGTTCATCATGTTTTGTTTTTTATAGCTGAGGAGAACTTTATTGTGTATTTTTATAATATCTCCCAAATCCAGTTAGCTGTCCTGTATGTTGTTTCATTAACTTGGTTAACAAAATAATGTTAAAATGAGTATGTGAGTGTATATTTTCCTTCAAATTTGTGGTTTTGGTTATTTGGGTAAATACCTAGGAGTTGAATTGCAGGATTATATAGTGACCAATATGTAATGTGCTGAGAAACCTCCCTACTATTTTGTAGAGGGACTAAGCCAGTCTAACCTATCAGCAGTGTATGAGCATTCCTTTTGCTCCACATCTCTGCCAACATATTTTTATTATGAGATGTTATCTTATTGCATTTTTGATTTGTATTTCCCTGATAAATGATGATGAGAATATTTCATGTACCTGTTAGCCATCTGTATGGCTTTTGAGAAGTTTATACCTAGTGCTTCTGCCCCTTATTATTATTATTATTATATTATTATTATTATCATCATCATCATCATCATCATTATTATTGATTGGTTGTGTTCTTTTGTTGTGTTTGTATGTGTTCTTTATAGATCTTGGTTATCAGTCCCTAGTCAAATATATGATGTGCAGAATTTTCTCTTATTCAGTAGGGTATATTTTTGTTTGAGGATATATTTTTGTTTGTTTATCTGTGCCGAAGCTTTTTAGTTTGTTACAGTTATATTTGCTTTATTTATTTGTTATATTTGCTTTATTTCTCTTTCTAGTGGAGATGAATCCACAAAATATCACTGAAGTCAGTGTTGTGAAGTGTTTTGACTAGGTTCCTTCTGTGTATTTTGTGGTTTCAGGAGTTGCTGCCCTGTCTTTAATATATATTTTTAAATGTTTGTCACAGTACTTAAAGAAAGACATTGAAACTTTGATAGGGATTGCATTGATATCAATATTGCTTTGTGTAAGATGGAAAAGAGTATATTTTGGGGGTTGTTTACTTTTTTCCTTAGTTCTATACTGTTTCTTTTGTCTTTATTTCTTGGCAGTCTCACAATTTTATGCCTTGGTGTAGGTCTCATTATATTTAGATAACTGGATGTTTGTTTATTTTATGGACTGGTATATTTAGTTCCTTCCTCAGGTTTGGGAAGTTTTCCAGTATTAATCATTTTAATTAGTTCTCTATTTCTTCTTTCTCTCCCCCTCTTACATAATACTTATTACTCTTATGTTGCTTCCCTAGTGGAGTCAAATAATTTGCAATGTTTCTTCATTTGTTCCCCTTCATATTTCCTTTCTTCTTTCACCTGGCTTCTTTGTCCATCTATCTACTGAGATGACTGATTTGATCTTTCTTTAGTATTTTTTTTAAAGTTTTATTTATTTATGCATACTGAACTGGGATACAGGGCAAAGGTGCAGGGTGATGTGAGGATTCACCAGAGACAGAATGGGGAGCAGAACAGGCAGACTGATGAAATACACTTCTGAGGGGAGCAGCGGGCAAGACAGGAGAGGTTTGCTGTGCCATGTGGGTCATCTCTGGGGCAGGAATAGAACTTGCACTGAAGCAGCTGAGGTTAGCTTGCAGTGCTGTGCTTTAACCTACTGCTCTACCAGGAAGGGCCAATCTCCATGTCTTTGTGGTTGCATCCTGGAATGTGTTTGTCTCTTTGTGATGATATATTTACCTAAGGGGTCATGACACCGTGTGTTATATTTTCCTTTATGTCTATTTTGCTTCTTTTGAATTTGCTTATATATATATATATTTTTTAAGTCATAACCAGTGATCAAGTTTTCAGAACTTCTCATTTTCCAGCAGATGATTTTCCAGCAGGTGATTCTGTGGTATCATTTACTTATAAATATTTACTTGTACTAGATTTTCCTGGCTTTACATTATTTTAGATATTTGGTTTGTCAGATATTTGGGTATTGTCTGGGTATATACTACACCCACCAGTGTATATTGTGTAGACCTGATCTACATGTTCGGTCTCAGGAAATAGGGAGAGTCCTGGAAGAACCTAGTTGCTCATGAGAGTTGGTGAGATTTGGGGAAGGTTTGTGCTGTGGTAACATCGGTAGCATTCTTCTCACTTTGCACAGTCTGTAATCAGTGTAGCTCCAAATTAGACCACACCATCAGTTTCAACCCTGAGTGGGGGTGTTGGAAACACAGTACAGAAATATATATATATACACACACACACACATATATGTGTGTGTATATGTATGTATATGTGTATACACATATGTATGTATATACATGCACATATGTACACATACACACCCATATACTGAGGCTGTAGATGCACACCACTCAACTCTCCCCTCCATAGGGCCACTGGCTCCTAGGTTTTCAACACAGGCTCCTACACTGAACCAGGACTCTAGGCTCCTCTTGCATGGACTTGAATCTTTTAGTGTCCTATTGCTGTCCTTGTAGAAGCCTTCAAATAAGGTACAACTTTGTCCCAAATCACAGGAACTTCTGGCTTTTTGTACTCCTAGATGAACTTTCATGTTATCCTCCCTGTAGTGAAGTAGAGATTCCTGTGAGACCAAGTTGGTCTGTCTTTCCTTATTTTGTCATCTGTGTGCCTCTTTGTATGTGCATATATGTGTTTGTGAAATATAGAAATTAAATGTAGGGAATTTTGATGAATATTGTAAAATGAGATAAATTTAAAGATCATTTAGTATGTTTATACTTACTCCTTCAGCATTTCATAATCCTCTTTAAAACTCACTATTCAGTTTTAGTATTTTGCAAGTATGCTGTACATGATTTCTCATTGTTAAATGTACCCAGGAAACTGATCATGTTAACATATTTATTTGTTATGTAGGTTCATTTTCCCCCATGATCTATCCTATCCATATCCTATATTTAGTATATTTGTCTCTTTTTATATTAGTTATTTCATAGGAGTTCTTTGTATGTTCAACTGGAAGTGATCTTTTCATGTGCCATGTTTGAAGTATTATCCTTCAGTAGCACCTTTTATTTTAATTTTGTTCTAAAATGTTTTGTGTATGGATGTTTTTACTTTTGGTGAAGTCAATTTATTAGCTTTTTCTTTGCTATTTCTTATTTTTTGATTCTTCTTCTTATTTTTTTTTTTTCTGGGCCTCCCTGATGATGCATGAGTTAAGTCTCAGCACTATCACAACAGCCTTAGTTAGATTCCTGGCAGGGAACTGTCTCACATACAGGGCAGCATGCCTTTCCTGTCTCATCTGCTGTTCCCCTTAGCTGTATATTTCAGTAAATCTGCCAGTTCTGCTCCCTACTCTCTCTGTGGAGAATCCTCTCACAGTTTTCACCTGGTCTATACTCTAATTCCTTTGTGCATAAATAAATAAAAATAAATCTTAATGGCCTCCCTGTTGGCACAAGGGGTTGTCTCAACACTATGAAACTATCTGCAGCCACTGCAGTTTAATCCCCGGCTAATCCACATGGCAAAGCAGACCTCTTTTTTCTCACCTGCTGTTCCCCTTAGCTTTGTATTTCAGTAATTCTGCCTGTTCTGCTCCCCACTCTGTCTCTGGTGAATCCTCTCACACCCCATACCTCTGATCTATACCACATTTCTATAAGTAAAAAATATTTTTTTCAAAACATAAATTATGTTTTCTGAGATCATTCAGCCATTCTTCATATTTTCCTTTTAATATTTACTCTTTAGCTCGATGCTCATTATTTGTAAGTTATTTGTATTAGATACATTTTGTTGAAAAAAATACTGTTTTTTATA